CACAAATTGGGATTAACTTTCGCAAATATCTCACGAAATAAGCTTTTGAAACAAATTTTGTTACGATATATTTATTATTACTAACAAACTATACATTTTAAATGATGGAATGTTTTCGTGTCATATACACTTTAAACAAACAATACATTCATTACTGCAATAGACCTATCCCGAATTCGCTTGACTGACCACGAAACCGCAATGGTTTGAAGTTGAGACTGAACTTGATTCTTTTATTCATCAAGTTCAACCTCGACTTGAAACCATTGTTTCGTTACCAGTCAAGCGAATTCGGGATAGGTCTATTGGAATTTTATTTTCAAGGTATTTTATTTTATAAAAGTACAATTGATTTTACTTTAATAACGTGGGGAGTGATCCTAATGAACGCTTCTTAAAATTGTCTTGAATTCGAGGCCAACATGGAAATAAAAGTAATGTCACAAATTCCATCGAGACAAAGTGTAATTTATATTCTCATGTTGGCTTTGCATTCAAGACAATTTTAAGAAGAGTCAATTCTCCCGCGCAAGAGGCTCACGTATAAAACTCTTAACAAAATGCCATTACATAAAGGTTTAGGCCCCGTCCACACGTATCCGCAAATTTTTGTATCAGCAAAATTTGTTTTTGCGGATACGGGTTGCGTGCACACGTGTCCGTAAATTTTTATGTCCGTATCCGCAAATCTTAAGAAAACGGATACGTGTGGACGGTGAAAACGATTCGAATACGCTGCGTGTGGACGCAAAAATTTTTGTGTCCGCAAAATATAATTTGCGGATACAAAAATTTCCGGGGACGGGGACGGGGACGGGGACGGGGCCTTATACATCTTCTCTGGTACTATTTCCAAGTAACATTTTTTTTCTTATTTTACAGCGAGAGAAATAAAACACCAGATCGAACAATGGATTAGGTCCAAAAAAGRAGAAAAGGCGTCAAAATAAATGACCCTAAGCGTCCCTTTCCTTTCAATCATTATTTGACATATTTTTTTGTTTTTCTCAATAATGACTAATTAATAGAAATATTGCTTCGTTGAAATGACGAGTGTATGAAAGAAATTATAAAATGCAATAAAATGTTGGGTACTTTGTTCCATCGTAAGAAATATCCTGTTCCATTTATTTTGAGTTACATCATAGGAGGAATTCATAAAATGATGATGATTATGATGATGATGATAGCAATATTGACGGTTATTTTCTTATGTTGTTTATTCGTTTGTAACTCAAAGTACTTGATCTGTTAGCGTCTATGGGCCTTGAACATTGTGTGGATAAATCTACGCATATACTTGATGACTACTCGTTCGGATTCCTTACTTACAGCCAAGCCTATGACTGATTACTTGTTTTCGGATCATATCACGGATCTTTGTGACCTTACTTTGGGTAAACCATCTGCCAAAGTTGAACAAATATCATATAGAAAGATCAAAGCAATAGGCCATTTCAAGGATCCCGTTACTCAACCTCAGCCTCGTCAGCGTGTAATTATTCTTTAGAATTTGACTACAGTCCGCAGTAATGAAAGGAATTTAMACAACGAACAATTGAAACACAGGTTGTAGGCAATTTCTAAAGAATATATTACACGCTGACGAGGCTGAGGTTGAGCCGCGGGATCTGTGAAAAGTTCTATTAAGATTGATGATTTCAAACAAGAACTGTCRGTTAACCTCTGAACTTTGTCAAAACAGTCCAGATACACTAAATGAGTCTAGTCAATTGCCACAACAACACTTTGGCTCAAGTGCTTGAAAGACATGCTCCTCTCCGGTCAAAAGTCATTCGATCTCGACCTTTAGTACCTTGGTTTAATGTTGATATCAAAAATGCTCGCCGTGAAAAAAGAAAGGTAGAACGAAAATGGCGACGTTCTGGCAAACATGAAGATATATTGTCCTACAAGACTATCAAGAACAGGACAAATAAATTAATAAATGAAGCTCGACGCCAATTCTACCAGGACGTCAGCCAATGATAACAGTTCAAACCAACAAAAGCTTTTTGCAGCGTCAAATACTTTGATGGATCAAGGTAAAAAAAAAAACGTGCTACCTCCTTGCGACTATGACCTTGAATTGGTTGATAAGATGGGTTCGTTCTTTGTTCAAAAAATTACTGATATACGCAAGAAACTGGACTGCATGGCTCAAGATCTTTCCACTGACCCATTATTAGACTGCACATCAGCTCCCAATTTTAGTAAATTTGCTTCACTTTCAGAACTGGAAGTACGGAAACTTATCGAGAGCAGCGCAAAGAAGAGCTGTTCTTTTGACCCAATGCCAACGTCGCTGGTTGACAATAAATTGCATTGATGTTCTGCTTCCTGTAGTCACAAAAATGATAAATTTATCGCTCGTGGAGGTCGTGTTTGCTGATGTCTGGAAATGTGCACTCGTAAAGCCGTTGCTTAAAAAAGCTAAGCTGGTCTTGATCCTCTTTTTAGTAATTATAGGCCTGTCAGCAATCTGCCATACATATCCAAGCTCACTGAAAAAGCTGTCTATAATCAACTTCATTTACACATGATTGAAAATTGTATTTATCCTGAGATGCAATCATCGTACAGAAAAGGACATTACATCTTCGAGTAGTCAACGACATTTTAATAAAAATGAACTCTCAAGAGGTCACTTTACTTGTAGTGCTAGACCTTTGTGCGGCCTTTGACACTGTCAACCATGACATTTTGATTCAACGTCTTCATGAGGTATCTCTGATCTTGCCTTGCTCTGGTTTAAGTCATATCTAAATATGCTAGGGTACAAAAGGTCTGTATTGATGGAACAATTTCTAAACCATACAATTTAAGCTGTGGAGTTCCACAAGGATCGTGTCTTGGGCCCATTCTCTTTGTTATGTATGCATCAAAGCTCTTTAAGATCATTGAAGATGAGCTTCCGAGTGTTCATTGCTACGGCTGATGACACCCAGCTTTATCTGAGTTTCAAACCTAACAGTACATCTCAGGATGAAGCCTTACGTGTCATGGAGACTTGCATTGAGAAGATTAGACGGTGGATGATACAAGACAGACTCTTAATTAATGATAGTAATCGTAATCGTAATCTTAATCTTAATTTTAATTTTAATTTTAAAATAGTTTGGACAAATTCAAGAGTAAAAACGTATCTTTTTAAAGAAGCATTTAATAAGAAATTATAAAATAATTGGGATACTACGCGCGCTATGATTGGTCGAAAGCCATGTTTGATGAGAGTATCAAAACACGCTATCGTCATTTTTTTAATCTATCGCGCGCGCTCATTGGTCAGTTTGAATAAGACGGCACGTAAGGAGAATTTACTTAGACTTAACTTTTTTCGATCTTTTCGCGCGTTTGTTATTTTATAAAACAAATCAAAAACAGTTTTCTGTGTTTGATACTCTGATCAAAACACTTGGGATGTTAGGAGAACACTCGGGAAGCTGGAAACCACTCAGCTACGCGTCGTAGTTTCCTACGCTCCTCTCGTGTTCTCCCAACATCCCGCGTGTTTTGATCAGAGTATCAAACACGGAAAACTGTTTTTGATCTGTTAATTCAAATTTTTACAATTTAATTGAGTATTATGTATCATTTTGCAATTGATTTTTATTGTAAATAGGCATCTTTTTCTTTTATTTAGATATCGATTATTTAAATTCCTTATTTTAAAGCGTTATTGATCTATCATTGTAAATAGGGCTGATTTTAATTTTAATTCGGATATGTAATAGGACTCCATGCTGTCCAATTAAGAAATAATTGGACGAGGAAAATTGGATGATGATAATGATAATGATGATGATGATGATTATATAGCTTCTCATTAATCCCATGTAGGTAACTGTCCAATTATTTTCTTTCTTAATTGGACAGGTCTTGTTGATATGGGATTAATTAGGCAGCTATGTAATTAATAGGTAATGGGATTTCATGCGTGCTCCCCAATCAAGAAATAATTAGACTCGAAAAATTCCTCTGACTACCAAATTGGACTCGGCCTACGGCCTCATCCAATTTTGGAAGTCCTCGGAATTTTCCTCGTCCAATTATTTCTTAATTGGACAGCATGGAGTCCTATTACATATACTTATTATTAGAGTGACCACAGTAAATCCGTGAAACACTAATTACCAAATAGTACAAAATAGTGCTAGTTAGAAAACAATGGAATTTGCATGAAATTGTGCTATTTAGTATTRCTAAAGTTTCACGGGTTTACTGTGGTCACTCTATTATGGCAGTTGTATACGTAAGGATGCCTAGGCATAGATGTGACCGACTAAACGAAACCTATCTAGATATATTTACAATACTGATTAAAACTGTAAATTAAATTCTATGATTATGATTTATGATTAATATAGCGCCCTTTAATATGTGGATATAATCAAAGGCGCTTTACATGGAGTGACAGATTGCTTTATGCAATTTACAAGCATGAGAGATGGTTAGTATGAAGTGTAGGCACTGAGGGTGGTCACTGCCAGGGTTTCTTTTTACGTCCTCAGTGGTTCTTTTATGTCCCCCATTTTTACTGTAGGTTAGGAAGGGCCTACGGTTTAAAGTCCTTGTCCGAGAAGACTTGAAGGTCTAACCATTTGCAGATTTTATTACAAAGACAGCACCTTCTCCTCAGTTATTTTAAGACCCTGAGTGTTGGTCCGGCCGAGGCTTGAACCACGACCTCCCGCACAACAGACCGACGCTCTTACCAACTGAGCTAACCGGGTGGCAGTTCTATTCATTAATAGAATTGTCGCTAACTATTCACTATTGTCCATTATAGATATTTATAAGACTTCAAATATCAAATGATATCTCTAAATTACTATGTTAATTAAAACGAGAAATTATAAACTAAACTAAAATTTATTATTTATTATTTATTAATACAGTTAATAAGTAGTGTTCGGTTGAGATGAACTATTTTATGAGAGTAAAGATGAACTATTTTATGAGAAAAATTATTATCATTATCATCATCATCATCATCATCATCATCATCATCATCATCATCATCATCATTATCATCATTATTATTATTATATACCACTTTCATCGATTCTTCAATTCACCGGCGGCGGCGCCACTGGCCTGCTTCTCCACCTTTCCAAGAATCATGGCCTAACAACCAATCGGGTTTCTCGCCACATAATTTGGGTTCAAACCTGTACCTTCCGCCTATTTTATCCCAGGCAAAGCGAGTATTATGAGAACAATAATTGTGAAAGTTCCTTATTTTTGGTACGTCATTCTTTCTACCATCGTTGCTTGCTTTATGATACTCGATCATTTTGTCCTGGTAGGCTCCATGAAGGCCCATATACTTATCACAAATATTTTTGATTCCCGCAAACTGGGCCATCTGCGCAGCCGGCGGATGATGATGAAGGCGTGGATCGTGGAAATATAACTTAGAAGGAATATTGTTCAACCACAAAGCTATTTGCTGGTCCGCATGAGGATGGCAAAACATTTCCGTCTTATTTTGRCCTAAAAACCGATGTATAATGTCTCTGGTGAAGACCATCCACGCTTCATCCGGCCAGACGAGATTTTGCCCGTCGCAATGAAAATTTGCCCACACGAGATTCTCCTTTGGTCGATGTTTTAGTTCATGGATTAATCTGCTTAAACAGATAAAATAATCATCATCTGCTCGAAGGAAGTATTCAAAGTTAAAGTTAGCAGAGGCCCATCTTATTTGATGAAGGAATCGAAGTCCAAATTCTCTTCCACCAGCTAGTGGTTGAAATACCATGTCTCCGTAGCGACGGTTTTCTTCTTGAAGCTGTTTTGAGACATTGCTGCTGACCTTTCCGTCAGTTACGAAAAAACATCTAACCTGTAAAAATATCGTCAAATATTAATAGGGGATAGCGCTAGAATGATTTGATTTAGCCCTTGAAGTAATGATGCCCAGCTAAAAGGATTTCGAATGGAGGGAATGACCGCTCACAAATAGGCTCTTTGCAGTTAACGGTCACGTGTCTGTACTGGTGAGCAAAGTATTGGTTTTTATTTTAAATAGGTGATTCTGTATAGCTACTTGTAAAGAACTGAATAAAACGATGTGCAACTAGTGTGTTATGAAATGCAGTTTTATAACGATCTCTCGCAACAGGTTGTAGAAGGTTTGTTTGCTCACCAGTACATTTCATCCATGGTAAATCAAGATGTTCATTCGTTTGCTCTTAGTGAATCAATCAGCTCGTGATTACTGAGCTGCAAAGGGCCTATTAGGTTTTAATGTGACGCTAAGTGCATAATGCTCAATGTTGTGTAACAGGAGAAAATAACAAGTCTCATTCACCACGTAGCCTCACCGCATTTAAAACCTTCGTTTCTGACATGCTTGCAACACTACATTCGAAACATCGCAAGTTTGCAGTCGATTTGGTTGCCGAAATTATGAGAAATCATACTTAGATTCTTTGAGAAATTAAATCATTTGTACTGCGCGATATCCATAGGAATGGTCTATCGCTCATTACATTTATAATTATACAGCTTCTCATTAATCCCATATAGGTAACTGTCCAATTATTTTCTTAATTGGACAGGTCTTGTTGATATGAGATTAATTAGACAGCTATATAATTAATAGGTAATGGGATTTCATGCTCCCCAATCAAGAAATCCTCTGACTGCCAAATTGGACTCGGCCTACGGCCTCATCCAATTTTGGAAGTCCTCGGAATTTTCCTCGTCCAATTATTTCTTAATATTTTCATTTTCATAGTATCTTATATTTGCATAAATGCAGAAGAAGCGGCCTCTGCTAAAACTGTAGGAGCAAATTGTAGTAAAACTGTAGTTTCAAATGGTGCAAACAACTATATACTTTTGATTTGATAGGTTATCTATTGTTGATTTTGGAGATATATCTATATATTATTTTATAATTGCCCTATTTCACTATGACGTCACTACTTGTTTATGTGGTAGATAGAATCGCCAAATCAAATAGAAAATTCAACAAAATTTGCTCCTAGTGAAACAGTTTAATCTAAAATGGCCTGGTTCTCATATAATACGTGTTAATATGTACTAAAAAATATTCTGAGCGTTTGCTGGCTATTCCACTTCTCTTCGTGGATTGATACGGGTTTTAGAACAATTTTCGGCGAATTTGCGTTGATTTGACCCCGTCCGACGACCATGATCCTTTTCGTTTTAACAATAGATTGTTTTGATGTGACGTCATAGTGAAATAGGGCAATTTGATAACATTGTAACAGAGGTTTCAATATTACTAATATCTGTGTATGAGAATATATATATGAATATATATATTTGTACTGCGGTTGCAATAATGTATCGTACTACCCCAATTATTTTCTAAAATAACATTCATTTGTGCTGCTCACCAGTACACTTTAAAAAATTGTAAAAAAATTGCGAAAAATTCCACTACCTATCCGGTCAAAGGCTTTTTTTGTCGTGCCAAAACAAACCAAAGTCTCTCGGGTAAGGGAAATTTTTCTCGAGCTTGGTATCACGTTCAGCCAATGAGAATGCAGTATGTAACATGACCCCGCTCACGCTTTACAACGGCCGTTTGAACACCATCGATCACACACTGTAGAATAAATCAAATTTTGTGCACAATCCTTTGTTTTACCATTGTTGGCAATGGCTGAGTGAACAGACATAAATTTTTCATTTGACTTGTAGTTCAAAACACTTAAAGCTTTATAAGAGATATTTGAATATTCCTTACAATCCCATAGACAAAGTTTATGTTTACTTATTTTGCAATTTCGGATGAACAGAAATCAAACATTGTGCATGATCAAGACCGGTTCAACATCAAAARCGAACAAAGACCTATAACAATAGGTTTCCCAACCATTCCCCTGTATTAACTGTGCTTGCACTAAGTCCCTTGAGCAATTGCTCTGTTCATTAGCTACCACTTCCACAATCGTTATCCGAATAAGTTAGCACTATTTTGATAACTAGTATAACGATTAGTGAACCGTTATAAAAGTGAAAGAACTGGACAAACTTATGAAAGACGACAAAAAGATTTCCATGGTGGGCTGCTACATGATTAGTGACGGCTTCTCTCAGAAGATGTGTATTGTAATTCTTTATCCYTAACGATGGCTATAGCACAGCTCAAACTTGTTAAAACTTTGGTACCTGTTTATTAAAATCCTTATCAAATCCCTGGGTTGTACGAAGGGTGAATAGCGCTATCGTAAAAATAAATATTATCCATTGGGAAGGCGCATTTGAAAACGATATGCTGAATTTGCGCCATAGAGATAAATATTATCATTATTATGAATGTGTTGTATAACAACATCGATTAACTTACCCACTGGATAAGGATTTATCTATCGGATAGCGCTATCCACCTTTCGTAAAAAGGCCCTACTGTCTCGACAAATTATAAATATTTGCGCGCAAATGGTAGGTTATACCTGTACTATGGAGGGCAGTCGTCTTCCACCTTGAATCGCAATAAAACGAGCTAATAAAGTCTATGATCACACATTCTTCGAATCGGCTCCCTGTGTAGTCGAAAAAAGATACTTATTTTGGCTCCGGAGTACATATATTATTAGACTTCTTATAAGTTCAAACGTTATTTTCACAATCATCTTGGCTACCGAGCACATGGCGGTGGAATGATTTCGTTGGCAGTGCTTCTTCATCTAACGGGGAAAATACTTTGACGTAGTCAATTCTACTTAAAATCACGCTCTACAACTCAACTATATTTTGTTTATGGTTTTTGGTTTGGTTAGTAACTTAGGGAAACTCTGAAAATCATGTTGTGTTAAACCGTAAAGGCAACAACGAGTCATGAAAACGCCTGGGGGCAAGCGAATTCATGAACCGAACTTTTACATGGAATTGAAGTAAAGTTATGAATTGAAACTTAGCCTGCGGTGTTCAACGTTCTTACAACTTAATTCCATACAACTTAATTCCATACAGGCTTCCTCCTATTGCCTAGTTTTAATTTAGATTGAGAATTATTTCAAACGGGCTCAACTGCGTTAGCCTGAAGTATGCTACGCCTACTTACCTCGCTATCATTATAACAGTGTTTCCAATACGTTTTCCGTATTCGTTCTCTTCGCTGGCTTCTTTCTGGCGCCGTTGAAATTATGACGATCAGAGTAACGTTCCCCGTTATGTTGAGGTTGTTTTTCGTGGCGACTTTTTTAAGTTTGATAGTAATAGAAGAGTTTTTTGGTCCGCTACCAAGTTCGGCATCTGATGCATTGGTTCTTGAAGAAATGAAACCATCACCGAGAGAAGAATTAGAGTGGAAGGCATAGTGTAAGCGCGTTTTAAAGGAATTCTTCTGAACCAACACTAAACAAACTAAACAAATAACGGAAGCAAATACCAAAAGCTTCTTTTGATTCTGTAGACTTAACATCTCGAAGACATGTACAAGTTTATTCTAACAACTGGTCTCTGCCAGATCGTCGTTTATTTCATTCTTACGTAAATCATTCGACCGAAAATATATTCATTATTCATCACTCTTAAGGGACACTTAGGCCCCGTCTACACTACGCCGGATAAATTTAAATCCGAATTTTTATTTATTCGGTTAGGCCTACCGTCCACACTAGTCCGGGCGATTCACCAAAAGCGAATTGGATATCTTGGAAAATATCTTAAGTTTGATTTTTAGAATATTTTCTATTTTTTCCAAAAAATTGAAAATATTCTAAAAATTAAACTTAAGATATTTTCCAAGATATCCAATTAGATCTATATAGGCTATGCAAATATAAAAAGGAATATGGATTTTCAGGACTTTTGAAGTAGTTTCAATAGGACTTCAAAAGGCTTGTTTAAAAAATCCAAGATGGCGGTCTTGTGGTCACGTGACCTGGTTTCCATGGCAACAGATATGCGGTTATTGCTTGCCTTGAAGAATTACTACTACGAGCCAAAATTGGGAAAGATTCATATAAACTGTCAAAGATATGAATAAATAACTGATTTTCCATCATTTCCTCAAAAGAGCCATGCCTTAATGGTGCTGAGGTAAGCCTAACGAGAGTAGCAAGTATAAATATTTATCGAGTATTAATAAATTGTTGCTTTTTTCCTTTTTTCAGGATAAACGAATTATGAGACGCTTTGGTTACAGCTTTCGAGGCTGCCCAGCTCAAAGTCAAAGGTGGTATGGCAATTGGGGTCCACGAATTACAGCGATTCCTGTCATATGCTCAGAAGGGATCATTGAATTGAACATTCGTCGAGGAACTACTGATGAAGAGAGCTTCCTGGCATTTGTAAATGAGAAGCTCATCCCTAATCTACAGCGGTTCGACGGAATTAATTCGCGCTCTGTGGTTGTTATGGGTAATGATTTTTATCACGACTTCATAAGGGCAGACTTTTATTTCATCTTATCATGTTAAGCAAGGTTTTTGTTATCTTACAGATAATGCTGCGATTCATCGCTGCCGTCGCGTTGTTGAAGCTATCAATACCACTGGTGCTCTAATCGTGTTCCTTCCAGCTTATAGTCCAGATTTTAACCCGTGCGAAAACATTTTTTCTCAAGCAAAGAGTTGGATTCGAGCTAATGATGTTGTGTGGCAAGTGTGTCATGATCCAGAGGAAATGGTTTTTGAGGCCTTTATGCAAGTTTCTGATGTAGACATCAGAAACTATTTACGATTTATTGGGTATCTTTAAAATCCATTCTAACTTGGGGTCAGTGTTATCTTGACAATTTTCCCAATATGCTATAGACTACGACACAAGATATCTCAAAGTGTAAAGCCTTTTAATGATGATTTTTTACAACAGGCGATACACTGTAATTAATTTGTAATACTTATATTATGATGGTTGTAGCTTAGCTTGACTTAGCTTGACTACGAGTCAGTCCTTATAATACTATGCGAATAAAAGCACGCAATAAAACAAAACCTTCTGAGTAATAAATTACATCATTGCTCGGTTCAATTAGTTTTTTTGAGGTCCTCCAACATCTTCTTTTTCTGCTCTTGAAACTCCTCGTTGCTAATGRCATCGCCATCCCTCAGGTTCTTCAGCTCAACTAGTTGGCCAAGAATTAGTCCTCGTGCTTTGATCTATAATAGTGAAAACAGAGAAAGCCGCGTTTCATTTATCAAAAAATGTAGAACAAGAACTTTTTAAAATGAAGTAACACCAGCAAAAAAGTTTACAAGGGCAGTTCAAACCTGCGCTTCGTTTACTCCCGTGGCATCCATTTCTCGTTTGCTGGGTTGTGCTGAGGTAGAACAGGTGGAAGTCGATGTTGATGACTTAACTACACCTTTAGGCTCTGTCGCAAAAAACGAAACATTTGGTGGCACTGTCTCGTCATCGTGACTTCCATTTACCTGAAAATAAGTATGATAATAATTTACTTAATAAACTCGTAAAATTTGTGTGCAGATAGTGAGTTAAAAATAACATTTTCTTACCAACATTCTTGCCCAACACTTTATTTTAAAATCGGCCATTTTTGAGCCATGTTCGGTTTGGCGTAGTTTTGACAAATAGCTGTTGAAGCGACTATCACCTTCTTTCTTGACTTCTGTTTCTTCAAAATAATAATTCGAGGAATTATAAAAGAATAACGAAGGAATTTTTATCGTTTTTTTAGGGCTTGGGAAAGAAAGAACCCCTACATTCTTCTTCTTTTCCCGTGAGCTGAACTTCAGTACTAATAGTTTTTCGTTGTAGTCATTTTTTGAATTAAAGTAGCGAGCAAGTTCATAATTTATTCGATTTAAAATAGTTTTTAGAGCGCACGTATCAATAAGCCGAAATTTTCACGTGCGCTCAATGCGTAGCCCAATTAATATTTTTACAGACCGTAAATCCTTTTTTAATTTTAGTTCTTTCTTTCTATTAAAAAACAGATAGCTGCAGTGTTGAAAAAAACATAGCTAGTTCCTTTATAGACCTTTTAGTTTGACTGTCACTCACTTGTTTTCTTGTTTCCCGTCGGCCTAAAGTCAAGGCAGATGAGCTCGTCGTCGTCAGCCGACCCTCGTTTTCCTAGAATTGCCTTTCCTTTTGGAGTAGACGAAGGAAAGGGATCCAACCAAAATGTCACGTAGTTCAAACTCTATTTCAAGTATGCCTCTTTCAGGTGTTCGTTTTTACGTATGGAAAGCTTTCTCCCTCTTGGTCCATAATAACCTAGTTCGAAGCCATTCACTTCTTTGGCCGGGCTTATTTCAGCGGCATGTTTCTCTAATAAATATCTTTTAAACATCTCAACATCTTTAAATATTGTCACCTCTCTCAAGGAAAACAAAGAAGACTGGTTTTTGTTTTCCAATTTTAAAACTTTCAGCATAATATTCACACGTGCCGTTCCGGTGTCCATGTTGAATGTTTTGAAAATCCCGCCTCGTGGTAAAGTGGACTTAAAGCACGTGATTCTTAAAGGGTAACCATGAACCTCCGCGCCGCTAGCTTACTGGCTTTCACTCTTCACGGGTGACTAACTTTCTCGAAAAGGGTGTATACAATCTTTTAACTAATAATGATAAGAAAATAAATTATTTTATAAACTGTCGACATATATGGTTCATAAGTTTAGGATTAAATTTTTATAATGAAAGTACGTTACCTCACAATAAACAATATTTTTATGACGTCATCAAAATCAAAATCAAAATAAACAAAAACTAAACAAAACTATCCCCTGGGCTGGCTGGAGGGGCTTGTGTGCATGTGAGTAGTAAGGTCGAAAACTAAAACTAGTGCACAGGAAACGATGTAGTGCATTTCAATTTGATTATTTCACTTCATGGTTTTCATTTTGGGGGACATTAAATAATGGAGGATTTTTTCCCCCCCGATTATTTATTCACATTTCAGTTTTATCTAATTTGGGCTCTCTGCGTCCATTGTGAGCTCCGCTTTTAGGCAGTGCCTACATTTATATATTAAGCTTCTTTTCAAGATGGCTGCTAGTAAAATATTAGACCTTTTCAATCCTTAAAGATTAACGACATCTTAAATTTTCCAGCACTTTCCTTAAAATTACATTATCGATAGCTTTAACCGCCACCCGGTTAGTTCGGTTAGAACGTCGGTCTGTTGTGGGGAAAGCCTCGGCCGGACCAACACTCAGGGTCTTAAAATAACTGAGGAGAAGATGCTGCCTTTGTAATTATATCTGCAAATGGTTAGACCTTCAAGTCTTTTCGGACAAGGACTTAAAACCGTAGGCCCCGTCTGTCTTCACTATATAACCCTGTATAAGGTGGACGTAAAAGATCCGCTGAAGACGCTGGTGACGACCATCATTAGTGCCCGTGCTAACCGGCTGCCTGTTAGGCATCAAGGCGTCCACCCAGGAGTGGTAAACGCATTAGAACTAGTGGAAAGGGAAAAATATGTGGATGGGCGCCAAACATTTAGAAATAGCAGAGCTAATCGAGCTAAGTRGCAAAGCAAACGAAAATTAAGTTAGGAAAGTTGAAGTACAAAGCAAAATACATGAATACATAACAAGACAAGCTACGAGAAAAAGAAAAAAAAAAAAAAACAGAAAGAAAAAGCAGACAAAACAAAAACGAACAACAAAGCATAAGCAAGAGAGAAAATGGAGAAAAATAAATTATAGATGAAGGGGAGTGATTCTCTTTTTATTTGAAATAATAATAGCTAATTATCATATTTTTCCACAAGGACTGAATTAGAAGCTTCTTGGAGGAACGGGACTTGATTTTATAATTTTTCTGGATTGAATTCCAAATTTTAACACATAGGATACGGATATCAAATTTGCCATAATTAGTTCTTATCCTTGGAAGGTAATGCGAATTTTTGTAAGAAAGTCTGGTGTTAGTATACTCATGTATTTCTGTTACGTGACAGGTATCAAGAACTTCTTAAAAAAAGGTGGCAAATTGCCTGAATGAAAATCAAACATAAACAAAGCATTGTTTACAAATATTTGGTCTGGAATCTTTAGAAGCCCCAGTTTGTAAAAAAGTGGACTAGAGTGGGCTCTAAAATCAAGAGGTCATTATTCTAATTGTTGTTTTTTCTTGAGAATAAAAAGACAGTTTTGTAAAAAAGTGGACTTGAGTGGGCTCTAAAATCAGGAGGTCATTATTCTAATTTGATTTAGTTTTTGAGAATAAAAAGTGGTAAATTAGGTCTGGAATTTTTAGAAGCCCCAATTCGTAAAAAAGTGGACTAGAGTGGGCTCTAAAATCAGGAGGTCATTATTCTAATTGTTGTTTTTTCTTGAAAATAAAAAGACAGTTTGTAAAAAAGTGGACAAGAGTGGGCTCTAAAATCAGGAGGTCATTATTCTAATTGTTGTTTTTTCTTGAAAATAAAAAGACAGTTTGTAAAAAAGTGGACTAGAGTGGGCTCTAAAATCAGGAGGTCATTATTCTAATTTGATTTAGTTTTTGAGAATAAAAAGTGGTAAATTAGGTCTGGAATTTTTAGAAGCCCCAATTCGTAAAAAAGTGGACTAGAGTGGGCTCTAAAATCAGGAGGTCATTATTCTAATTGTTGTTTTTTCTTGAAAATAAAAAGACAGTTTGTAAAAAAGTGGACAAGAGTGGGCTCTAAAATCAGGAGGTCATTATTCTAATTGTTGTTTTTTCTTGAAAATAAAAAGACAGTTTGTAAAAAAGTGGACTAGAGTGGGCTCTTAAATCAAGAGGTCATTATTCTAATTGTTGTTGGTTTTTTTTTTTTTGAGAATAAAAAGTGGTAAATTAGGTCTGGAATTTTTGAAAGCCACAGTTTGTAATATAGTGGACTGGAGTGTGCTCCAAAATTGGGAGTATTGTGAATATTGTCAGAAGGGTGATTTAAGTGTGCAGTGGTGGTCAAGGCAGTATATAAACTTTCGAGTTAGCTATCACTTATTTTTATGAAGAATATACACCGAATCGAAATATGGCGACCAATTTGAATAACTATCGTTCTGCACTGACTAGCGACTGACTAGCCTCGCGATCACGTGCAAACATAAAAGCTTTTTCATATGTATGAGAGGCTAGTTACTCAAATTGGTCGCCATATTTCGATTCAGTGTATACAATTATAATGGCAATTTACCAAAATATAATGATGTGTATGAGTTACTTGAGTTTGTATCATAAGATGCAAATTATAATAATGAGTTTATAGCAATAACCTATTCTTCTAATGAGTAGCAAAGAAGAAATAAGAAGGCTTATTATTCTAACAAAATTTACAGACTGCTTACGAGTATTTTTAACTATTACAATGCAATGATCCCAAAAGCACAGGAAAACAAAAAAAAAAAAAAACAACAAAAAAACAAAACAAAACAAAATAAAACAAAACAAAACAAAACACGAAACAAAACAAAGCAAAACAAAAGAAAAAAGAAAAAAGGGAAAAAAGCAACTCTACTTATATGTGATGCCTAATTCAGGGATTGAGTCCAGGGGAGGATTCGAGGCTCAATCCCAAAGGCCTTTGCAAGCTTTTTATCGTTTTTTTTTTTTTTTGTTCGCGGCCATGTTGGTGCCATTTAATAAAAGATTTCTCATTGGCATCCATCGTTAGCGGCACCACAATGGCCGCCATTTTTTAGTCTTTTGGCTCTCTTAACTTGGGAATGCTTGGAACCCATCAATACTGAACCTAAAAGTACTCCAAATTGCTAAAGTATTTTGGCAAGTATCTCCAAATTTCTTGAAGAATTTAGAAAATATTTAACGCTACAAGGTATACATACACTCTACTTAAGCAAAACTATTTTTTGTCGGCTTCGAAAATATTTATTCATTCTCTACTTTCATATCCCCATAATGCCTTGCATCTTTGGGGGGTAACCAATAAAAAAAACTGTCCCAAATTGAAAAATTTCTTAATTGAATTTATACTATACCTGGTTTTATCTGTACAATACTGATTATCAGTTTATTCCAAGTTATTTTTGCGTGTACAGATCATCAAGAGTTTTGTTCTTACAGAAAATGTATTGACTTACGAAAAAATGTTTAAGATTTACCTTAAACGTCTTCAAGCTTCTATCTTTTTCTGTTTTTTACTTCTTTATTTTATTTTTGGATACCAAACACGGTATTGTCAACATTGTCTGATCAGCCTTCAGCAAAATAAGTGGGTTTTTACCCTCTGGTTACCCCCCAAAGACGCAAAGTATTATTGGGATGTGAAAGTAGAGAATAGCGATTTAAATGGAAAATATTCCTCTCATTCGCAATGGATGATGGTATAACCCTGRATTCTCTTCTGGATAGAACCCATGAGTATAGCCAAAGAGGCGGAGAGAGTCAACCACCGACCTTCCTATGTATAATTCTTATCAAGTACGTGGATTGAACCWCGAACGATTCTTGTAGTTCTTATTATACTTTTGAACTTCTTTTACCTGGCTTCGAAATGAAAACGCCATGCAAGTAGTCATTAGGAYTAGAAATAACAGTGTTCCACACGCGGCCGCAATGATATAACCGTTATCCTGGATCCAAAAAATTCCTTTGTCCAAACAGCCTTCAGTGTTTATGCTTTTYTCTCGATCAACTGCTGATAATTTATCGATATATCCACATTGCCTGTTCGTTTGTAAATCTTTCTTACAACAGGAGAATGGCACACCACATCTTTCAAGTGCTGGGGACGAGCAGTTGAAATACTGGTTGAGTTGCCAGTCTGTATAGTGGCGTGAACCACAGCATTCCATTTCGGTTTGAGTCGTATCGATCAAAAAGTGGAGATCTTGTTTCTTTTCGTCGCGGTAAAATACTATCGCTTTACGAAGCTTGTCATCGATTGCTTCCTCCAATGGCCCTCTAAGTATGTATGCAGTAACACCAACCGTCAGTAGAGCCAAAAGAATGAAAGCCACGCAGCCTCCGTAGAACGCAAGAAGGCAAATATTCTCGCGAAGAGAACCAATGCAACCAAAGAATGTAATGATAAACAATATAGCTCCAAAAACGGCAATGATTATTGCCGGCTGATACAAAATATCGTTAAAGCCGCCGATGATATCTCCTAGTTCTGTCATTAGGTAAGCCCCGATGCATAAGATCAAGGCGCCTATTAGCCAAAACATCACGTTTAGGAAGAATAAGGTGAACTTGATGCATTTGGATGGATTTTCTGGAGGTGGAAGACGACGACTTTGTCGGTGGTGAGATGGACGGATTCGACGAATACTCCTCGCTGCAAAATCCATTTCTCTTTTAAAATTTCAAAAACAGTTTCACACAAATTACGAGAATCTTTCCGARTTTAATAGATTCACTCGCGAGACGACAACCTTTTCGTAGCAAAAAATATTGAATTCCAAAGGAAAATGTCTACGAGGTGTCTTAGTAGCTACGAAGGCTCCAGAAATATTACTTCGTCGTTCGTCAAAAGAAATTAAGAGGTCCAATCGCTTTTTTATCAACAAAAAGTGGCTACGCGCTATTGTTGACACTACAAAATTAATTATTCGCAGTAAATTTGAATAATACATCGAATTCAAAAGCTTTTATTCTAGTTTCTGTTTGAGTGATTTTATAGCACGTGATTAATCATCTCTTGCATCTCGCAAGACTCTAATTGGTTCTAATGAAGAAATATTTTGTGTTATAAGTGGTCGACCTTAGCATTATAAAAGATCCAAAGAAATTGACCATAAACGCTTCTTAACGTCCTTTGAAGCGAGACAATAATATAGATTTGACTCTACTCGACTAATATCAGACGTTGTTCAATAATGACTCATCGATGGTAATGTGCGTTGGTGATTCTATGACACAGTTATCCCAAAATGACAACCAAAATTGACAATCCCAGCAGCCCTTGCATAGCGATACTCGTCCCATTCCCCTACTCGTTTTTCTAAAGCTTTAAATAAACGCCGAGTGCTAAATACGCCGGAGGAGTTTATTTCAAGTACCACCATCAATAGGTGAAAATCACCAATCAGAAAGCGAGTTCGATGGCAGTTACTGAACAAAGATTTACTGACTTATATAACCTTACTTTTCCATAATTATATGGACAAATGTGTGGTAGTCGTGGGATTCGACGTCAATGGAGTGAAAGATTTCATTCGAGTACAGCATTTGAGTTTTTCGAATCCTTCTTCTCTTTCTCCTCCTTTTCTTCCTTCGATCGTCCGTGTCCTTGTCCTTTCCTCCTATTCTCCAGCCTTTCTCTTAATTACTTTATGTCTCAGTTTTCACGATTTATTCTAATTCTGAGCCATTGGTACATTACAAAGATTCACTTAGAGACTTCAGCATTTACATCGGCCCAATTCACAGCCCGCTGGAATACTTCCAAACGACGAACCATTCGCCCGACGGACCATACCTTGGCCAACTACCGTCTTTAGCTTCTTCTCCAGACTTCAATAACAGCAACATCTTTTTTGAATATCGTAGAAGACTATAATATCCTCAATAATGTCTTCTTAATTATGACAGAAAGTTTGTACAAAAAAATATGACTCGCAGCAAGACGGCTGGCGTGCAGAGAGAATCGGCTTCGAGTGAATCGATGATACCCGCAGATCAATAAATTTAGAATACCAATCGTTCAAAAGTGTCTGTAAATTGTTTCGTTTTGGTGTCTCAAGAGATCAAAGTTAAGATGTTAAAAAAGGCAGAAAATAGTCCCTAAACGTTTACCGTACATTACCGCAGTGGCAGTAAAGATGAGACGATTCTTTCAGTTGATTGTGAACAAGTGGGCATCACTGAACTCGCGTTCGTTTTTCGATTCTGCAACAAAAATGAAAACTTAAGTAACTTGCTTGGACGTTTCTCAATGCGACAGCCATGTTGACTGAACAATATATTTTTCAAATTTGTTGAGTGTATTATAAACAAAAAATCGCACAATCTTCGCGTACAATTCGGAATTTATAGATACTCGTGATGTTTTGAAAGTTCTCAAATCGAACTTGCCTAAAGAGCGGTCCAATTTTGAAAACTTTCAAAACATCATTCGTACCTATAAATTCAAAATTGTACTCGATTTCGGGCGATTTCCTAAACTAAATTTGCGTATGCATCAGAGATACTTTTGAAATAGGTTATATAGTTACCTTTAGTGCAGTCAGACCCAGTCCATCCAAACTGACAATTACACTTGCCGCTGATTGGATCGCAGGTGGAATTGTTTGCGCATGTGCAAGGGTGTCGACATCCGGGACCATAAGTTCCTTCCGGGCACTCTACAGGAAACCCAAAGCATCATTAATGCTTTCTGATCGGATGGCATAGCGATAGAGTAGCCTCTCACCTCTGGGCTTTCGGGTTCGATTCGTACTGACTCGGCATCACAAGTAAGTAGGTTTTCTACCTTCGGTGGTTGGAGGATTTTTCTCCGGGTTCTCCGGGTTTTAATTCCTACCCATCGCAACACCTTACACGTTAAATTTCAATTTAATATGTGAGTTAGCCATGCCCTGTCTTAGATCAGCCCAGAGGTTGTTTAGGGGTTCCATCTGTGAGTTAGATATGCCCTGACGTAGATATGCCTCTGGCCTAGAGGTTGTGTTCTTGGTATCGATAAAATATGAAGGTTTCATTTAATATAATTTTTACCTTCATCACATCTCCAGCCTGCTTTTCCTGGCGAACAAATACACTTCCCTGTCTTTGCATCACAGAACACTGAATCACAATTGCATTTGGCAAGACAATCCAGACCATATTTACCAGGCGAACATTCTAAAGACAAGGAGAAAGGTGTTGGGTCGAAAACAATGTCTGCGCATGCTCGTTCTTGCTGGTTTTCCATCAATCCCAAGAGAATAGAATAAAAAAAGACACGAGGCCATGTTTGATGATATAAAAAAAGACACGGCGGCCATGTTGGAGGATATAACACACGAGACAAATGAAGGATCTTTTGTTAAATTCATCCAACATGGCGTCTGTGAAAACTATCAATCCGTATTCAAATCGCTCAAAAGCGACAATGAACTCAAGAAAAAGTATGTAAATTCGCCTTTCAAACTTTCAGAAAATTTTTTAGCCCATTTCAAACCACGTGTAATTCCTTAAAGTATGATGGATAGAGCTCAAACAAAGAATTATATTCGCAAGAGAATAAACACACGATCTAAAATTGGGTAATATTACGCCCAAGGTAGAGAAGTCATTTTCATATTGTTTGTGTGTTTTGAAATGAAAATAAAATAATTAAAATATAGCAYTGACTGCACTTAGGGATAACACGTGACTTTTTAGGATATTTATAGAAAACAAAGCACATATTTTCCACTAAGATCATTAATTCCTGAATTCTTGGAAAACGTGTTCAAATGCACGCATGCGCAACTATTCTGTTGAGCCTCGTTTACACTGGCGATTTTTGCTGCGATTTTTGTGGCAATTTTCGGAAGTATGAAATCTTTTGTCTCATCCTTCAAAAGAGACATTCCGTCTAGCAAAATCTTGGTATCCTGAATAAAACTTTACAAGTAAATTCTTTACCATTATTTATCATGGACAGAATAAAATCCAAATCGCAAAAATCGCTAGTGTAAACGGGGCTTTATAGTGATAGCAACTGAGTAAAAATGTGATCGATAGAAGCATTGCTTGATCTGATTGGTGTTCTCTCTTGTCACGTGATAGTAATGGCGTACCTTGTTTACAGTCGTTCCCACTCCATCCCGGTTGACAGAAGCAGCTTCCAGTCTCAGGATCGCACAAGGCGTTGTTACTACATTCACATATTTTGGAGCAGTATGATCCAAAACGACCTGACGGGCAACCTATTTTCACATTAAGTACACTTATTAATAAATCATCCCCAAATAGACCTTTTAAACTTAGTATAACAATTGCCCATTTCAGATCATATGATATTACCTTGAGAAATTGACCTTGGGACGAACATGTTAAAATGTTTACGCTTGAAAAAAAATCAACACCCAAGAGTGGCACACATGGTCTGAAATGTGTAGGACAAACAACGAAGCTAAAAAGATATATTTGCTTGAGTTGAGTGACCTTGAAACGATAGGTCCAGGTCGAGGTTGGAAGTGATGTGTTGAAACATTTGCCGTGTTTTATAAAGTTCCATCGTTTTGGGTCACTCAAGCGAATTCGGGATTGTATTGATTAGTTTAAATAATTAATAATGGGGGGGGGGGGGAGGTGGAGAGTGCTGCAGAACCACGCACGTCACTACCATGTTTCAATGATACAAAAGTGTTTCTGAAATATCTTATTTTCCTTCCTGAAAACCCAAGCTAGACCAGCATTCCCCATTTTCATTAGTAATTCATTGAGGCTTTTCTATATTTTCTAATGTTTTTWAAAAAATAATGGGGATGACAAACAGGTCGATATTCTTTTTTCCCTTTCAAAATGGGTTCAAAGTCCATTCCTGCAATGGATTTGAAGAAGCGATATATTTTACGTACTATGTTGGCACTTATCCCCATACCATCCCGGCCTGCACATGCAGCATCCGGTCACACGGTCACACGTAGCCTGGTTCTGACATGCGCAGTCCAGTTCACAGTTGATTCCATACGTATTAGGAGGGCAGGCTGTGGATAAATCATTGAAAGAGAAAAAAGATAACAATTGAAGTTTCAAATTATTTTTGATGTAAGATTTGTGCATTCATACTTATATATTTGTTTTGAATGTTCTAATTTTTTTGTTGTTTATTTTTGATTTTTGATAATTTATGTATTTTTTATATTTCTTATTGTAAAGCGTTCTTGAGAAATGACGCTTCTATCTAAAATAAAAGTATTATCATCATCATCATCATTATTATTATTATTATTATTATCATTATCGTTATTATTATTATTATCATTATCGTTATTATTATTATTATCATTAATTGATGGTTTGCAAACATTTCCAAGAGCGTCAAATGACAAAGACATGGCGGCCATGTTGGCGGTATAAACAAAGAAGAACACAAATGAATACCCCCAATATGGCTGCGATGACGTAACTTGCAAATAAAGCTTGGGCGTAATGTTTTCAGACAACGTATCAATCTGTTGAGAATAAGATTCTTTGTTTGGGTTTTATGATATGTCTTATCATGTGCAACCACTAAACAAAGAAATAATACTCTAGGGAATGACACTGGGTCTGAAATGGGAAAACATTACGCCCAAGTTAAAAAGGTGTCTTCACTCACCTTCTTCACAGTCGATCCCAGTCCACCCCAGTCCACAGTGGCATTTTCCTGTCACGTGATCACATATYGCATTGCGGCACGTGCAAGTACCAGCACAATTTCTTCCAAATCTTCCTCTTGAGCACTCTAAAGGGGTTTTAATGCATACGATCATTAAAACCTAAATAGCTAAAATAGAGGCTTTGCACCATCACCAATAATACAGCTTGGGCTGCCTGTGGTTAGGTGGCAGAACAATAAATTCCCTTCGCTCTCGGGAATTAAATTATTATTTTTGTGAAACGATTGTGTATTTTCCTGCCATTTAAAATGGCGTTCGTCACGCGATGGTGCAAAGCCTCTATTGTGGTTCTATTCATTTTCCTTTCACCAAATTCAAATTACATGTGATAGTGTATCAATTATTTTCAGGTAGGTGGGCATGATATTTATAAACATTGTTATTGTGATGTTAATGTATCATCCATTTTAACAATAGGTTTTGTCACTCTGCTTTGTTGTATTGTCCAATAAAGTTGTGGTTGGCAGTTTAAATAACAGACAAACAAAACAAATTTTGTCATCGTGTGCCCATCTATAGAGACTTTCACCATCACGTGATGGTAGCCATGACAGGAGGCAGGAACAATAGCATCTGGTCTAATCTGATTCACACGAGAAAGAATTCAGTCTCCAAGTGAGAAAAAGAATCTATTGTTGTGCCTCCTGTCGTGGTTGCCATCACGTGATGGTACAAAGCCTTATATGGAAGGTTTAATTGACGCTGAAAAGTCCCCTTGGGGACGTGTTCAATAAAGTATGTATGTATATATGAAGGTAAAAGCGCCCTTTACCTTGACCACAATCTTTCCCTTGATAGCCTGGATCGCATCGACAGGCTCCTGTCACGGGGTCACAGGTGCCACGGATACACTTACACTGGTTCTTGCAGTTGTGGCCATATGTGTTGTGCGGGCAATCTGCTCATAATAAAAGTATAATAATAAAAACAGCTTCTCATTAATCCCATATAGGTAACTGTCCAATCATTTTCTTAATTGGACAGGTCTTGTTGATATGGGATTAATTAGGCAGCTATATAGTTAATAGGTAATGGGATTTCATGCTCCCCAATCAAGAAATAAATAGACTCAAAAAATTCCTCTGACTGTCCTCGGAATTTTCCTCGTCCAATTATTTCTTAATTGGACAGCATGGAGTCCTATTACATATACTTATTCTATAGAAAGGTTTCGGCAGCCATGTTGAAATGCAATTGCTTTGCATAACGTTTTTCCGTGCTTGTGGCTGCGCTTACACGATACCGGACAAAATTTCTAACCGGTCAAAACTTTGAATTTGGCAAACCATTCAGATTAAAAACCAGTTAAAAATTCTTCGCCTCCGGTACCGTGTTAATGCAGCCTGAGTCAGTTCTCTTATCGATCTATCTATCTATMTATATATATATTCCCTACCGTATTCGCACTGGGGCCCGATCTTCCCAGGAGTGCAAAAGCATTTTCCTGTCTTTGCATCACAGAAAGCCCTTCCAAGACATGAGCAGTTGTACAGACAGTTGCGTCCAAAACGACCCTGTGGACAACCTGTATACGATAACAAATGAACTAGTCAAACCAAGACAACATAAACCACTAAAAACGACCAACCGACTGACTGACTGTCCAAAGAAACGACCAACCAACCCACCAGCCCACCAGCCCACCAGCCCACCAGCCCA